TGTCTGACTAGGGGCGAGACGTGGGCTGATGACGTCATCGTTTCAGAAAATATACGGATTCGCTGTCCACACGAAAAAGCAATGGCGGCGTGAAACTGGTATTTTTTGAAACCGGGTCCCAGAGTGGATAAATCTGAAAACGCCGACCTTGCGTTTTCGAGTGGACAGCGAATCCGTATATTTTCTAAAACGATGACGTCATCAGCCCACATCTTGCCTCTAGTCAGACACCTGACACAGACACCAGACACAGATTAACAAATTTATTGTTCCATGTTCGTTTATATATCGCACACAAGGTTTATTCACATAGTCCAAGTCTTCTTCTCCATTTTTACCTGCGTATGCAAATCTTTTTGACGTCATTCTACCTTCATAGACGAGGGGGAAAAAAAGATCGAATAGGGAAAGCTCTGGCTTCGTGTGGACATAGCCTTGGTTCACCGAAAAATGAAAATTTTGTCATTTACTTGCACCTCATGTTGTTCCAAACTTCTGACTTTCTTTCTTCAGTGGAACATAAAAAGAGAGATTTTGAATGATGTCCTTGTTGTTCTTCTCCGTACAATTACAATGACTGGTGACTAAAGTTTTCAAGCTTCAAAAAGGCAGAATAAAAATGATCCAAATGACTGATATATTCCTTGTCAGTGAAATCTGGATCAGTTGGATTTATAAGTGAATCATTCAGAACATTTCTGTGAACTGAATAAGCCAATTTATAGAAAAGATGTGACTTAAAGAATGATTCATTCTAGTCCCATAAACTCTAATGAACAAGCCAAAAAGAGCTAGAGTGGATTGTCAAGATTTTCAGTGAATAATGACTTAAAGAGTTCACCCAAAATGAAAACCAAATGTTGGTACTCAAATAGTTTTAGAGACATTAACAATATTTCTTAAATATTGTATTTAAGTACCACAGAAGAAAGAAAGTCATACAGGTTTGCAACAAAATGATTGTATTATTGGGTGAGCTACCTCTTAAAATTTTGGTTTATCCTGTACACACAGCTATTTTATGGCTTCAGAAGACTCAACTTCAGAAGAACCACTTTCATGATGCTTTTTTCTCATTTTGAAGCTAGACAGTGTGAGTACTCATTCACTTTCATTACGGTGAAGAATAGCGGCCAGGGTATTCTTTAAACTTTAGCTTTTAGAAGTCAAACAGATTCAGAATGACAAGAGAGAGAAAAATAATGACAGAATTTTCATTTTTGGGTACACTATCCCTTTAAATTACCCACAAAATTAATGAACTGCACATGTAGAAGATCCAGGTTGCTGCACCGCGTCTTTCTGTTGTGATTTTTTGAGGTTTTTAAAAGCTAGGTTTTCCGCAAGCTCAACCCAATCATTACACAGACTCTTGACCAAAAGTGTTTATATACTACTGGGGTTGAGACTGCAGAATATGGCTGATCTGTGAGAGAGTGTGCTTGTACATGTGAGAGAGTGCCTGTAGATATGAATTATATATACATATTCAGATGTTGCCCTCCTGTAGGGAGGCTTTAATCACAGACAGCCAGAAACTCTAGTGATGAATGATTGATATAAATAGGGCAGAAAAGCAGGGTTTAGCTGC